AGTACAATGTAGTACAATAGTAAAATGTAGTACAATAATAGTACAATGTAGTACAATGTAGTACAATAATAGTACAATAATAGTACAGTGTAGTACAATAATAGTACAATGTAGTACAATAATAGTACAGTGTAGTACAATAATAGTACAATGTAGTACAATAATAGTACAGTGTAGTACAATAATAGTACAATGTAGTACAATAATAGTACAATGTAGTACAATAATAGTACAATGTAGTACAACAATAGTACAATGATAGTACAATGCATACTGCATATTTTCAGGAAATGTTTTCTTTTATATACTTAGCCTGTCTGTGATCAGAAATATTAGTGAATGACGAATCGTCCCTAATAATAGCATTTATTTTAGAATATTTTAAACTTAAAAAAACAGATTCGTGTTCTTCAAAAAGTAAACAATGTACTCCATTTACATTGAAGTGTGTTGAAATTATTGTTAAATCCATTCTACCTCTGACACAAACCAAATGGTCCTAGGTAGTAATTCCTCCCCACTTCAGCATCCAAATGACGCCGCCACAGCGAGGGGGAGGGGGAGAGAAGGGGTTATGACATCAAAGATGACGAGGTCATAGTTCCAAGTTAGGGACGCGTTGCTATAACAGGCGGCCTTGATGTGATAGTACCGTATTTTGTCACCAGATGGCGCACTGCTAGGCGGCCATGATGGATGATTACATAATAGTACCACAAAGTAGAGAACGTGTTTCTAGACAGCCATGACTCATACAGTGCATGTCATATAATTAATTCGTCCTACATTACTTTTCCTTATCATTAATTAGTCCTTCAAGGACAATACAATAATTAAAACTTACTCAATCAAGTGATTAAATTATTACATTTCCGAAAAGGACTATATATTATTGCAATCTAACGCATTTATATCATACAATAATTAAAACTTATACTTTATACAACAATTTACGTCGTCAATAAAACGTTTATTATGTAACAACACTTTTACTAACTTGAAAAATTGAACCCTCCGATCTACAGCTCGGCAAAGCTATTAATAGTGGCCACACCCTGACCCATCTATAGGAAAGAGAGTATTTGACTTTTGAAAGTAAACACAGGCTATAAAAAAAATCACCGCTAACTGAAATAATGTCTTATCTGCTACCATCTTTACCACATAGACTATAAAAAAACACCGGTAACACAAATAATGTCTTATTTGCTACCATATTTACCACACAGACTATAAAAAACACCGGTAACACAAATAATGTCTTATTTGCTACCATATTTACCACACAGACTATAAAAAACACCGGT